CGGGGTTCCACACCCCATCCTCGAGGTAGGCCCCCGAGATGTTCCTGGGCCAGGCCTGCGCGAGGGGTGAATCGCGCAGGGCCAGCAGGGCCGTCTTCGTATACATAGTCCGAACAAGGGAGTCCGTGGCATAGAGGGGGGGGTGATGTTTAATCCCCTTAGGTCTTTCAAAACAAGGCCAAACGGAGACACAAAACAGACACAAAACTTTCCCACTTTCAAAATATCGGCTCTGTAGTTCATGAAAAGAACTTAAGTTCAAAGTCCTACCAGGGTCACAGAATTAATTTCTCACATATTTATTACTATTTTGTTCTTTACCATTCAAACTTGGCCAAATATACAATGCTGCTATATTTCATTACTAATTCCTTTGAATTAAAAAGTAAAAATACCACTTTTAGATTATTATATTTATACAGCATTAATGATAAAGGGTGAGAATATGAATGAGTTAATGAATTCTTTTTTTCCTGGAGGATTCTCAAAGCTGAACTACTACTCTTTATGCATTTTTTAAAAAAAATCTTAATCATGTGGAAATAGGCTGAATTAAATTTTAAAGTGAGAAAAATAAGAAAGTGAAGAAATCAACAGATTTGTCTAACCCTGGCAAGAAGTCCGCCTAGATATTTAATTTTTACTGAAAAAAACCCCAAAGTAAAATGCGTAAATATATAGATATATAGCATATGTGTGAGTCATCAGTTCTATATTATTGTACTGACTAGTTATTACTCTGTAGTCCTTGGTGCTCTTTGAGCTTGGTTATTTGCTTACAGATGTTTCATTATTCAACCAGATAACATGATGATGATGTTACTGTGAGACTAGGCCAAAGCCACCATTCCTAAATGTGGCGACGGCATGTAACCAGGGTGGACAAAAGTTAGAAAAAGCTCCCTCAGGGAAAGGAACCAAGCAGTGGTGGGATTCAAATATGTGAACAACTGGTTCTCTGTATGGATGCCGCTTCTGGAAGTCCACTCTGGGCCTGGGCAACAAAAAATTAGCTACCAGTTCTGCAGAAGTGGTGTGAACAGCTGAATCCTACCACTGGAACCAAGTCATTAAAGAACAAAAGGACAAAAGTTGGGTTTGAGCACATGGCAAGCCCCTCCCCAAGTCTCACCAACAAAGGAGTTGGGCCTGCATGGAAAGCCCCTCTCCATAAACTCTAGGGCAGACATATCAAACATAAAGCCCGGGGGCCGGATGCGGTCCGTGAAGTGGTCACGCGAAGCCATCCTGGAAACAGTGAGGGAACAGCCCCCGCTGCCTTGGCCCTGGTCCAGGCCATCCGGGAGCCAATGTACAATTTTGTGGTGGCCATCTATGCTGAAATGTATTTAGTCTTAGCTCCACAAGGCCATCTAGAAACAGCAAGAAACCAGCCCCTGCTGTGTTGGCCCCGCCCCCTGGGTGCATGCTGGGGAGGTGTCACCCTTTGTGAGGAATGAAGAAATGGACCATGCCTTTGTGCTTGCCCCTTCTTCCAGAGACCCTCAGATCTATCCCACTCCTGCCCAGGCCCCCACAGGCACCCTTGACGCGAACGATGTAGAGCTGGCCATGCCCACCCAGTAGGCCACACCCACTCCATCCATGCCCACCAGTAGGCCACACCCACCTTGGCCACACCCACCCCGAGGGCAACCGCAATACTGATGCGGCCCTCAATGAAATTGAGTTTGACACCCCTGCTCTAGGGGATAAAAAGAGGTCCTGAAACCTGCCCAGTCTACTTGAGTCGTTTTTTGGATCCCAGACTTGGTGGCTTCCATCCCTCTGGGTAGTGCGTGGCAACCTAATAGTGGATGCTGGGTAAGGGTGGATGAGAGAGCATGCGTTGTGTAAGAGCAAAAATATATCAGTAAAAGTTTGCTGTTACTTTAAATTCACTGGGTGTATTTGGGCCTCTGTGTTTGTGCCTCAGTGTTCAGTTGATTGGGGATTGAGTGTGGCCTGTGAGTATGTGATCATAAGCTGAACCTGAAAGCACACTTGTATAACATTACTTAGTTGGATAATGAAACATCTGCAAGCAAATGACCAAGTTAAAAGAGCACCAAGAACTATATAGTTTAACCCTGAGCTATAGATAATTATCTTCTTTAGATACTTACTACGTTCAGTGCCTGTGATCTGTTGAAGGATCCGGAAAGAACGTGAC